TCTAGGTAGCTGTATTAATTTTAAAAACATGGGAGATGCCAATAAGACCTAAAGACCGACAGACATCTCATTGATCATGTTAATATCAGAGGTATCCAAAGAATATTTTGTTGCCTACAGCTATTGAAAGGCAGTCCCTGACTCATCATCACCAGATTTTCTCCAGCTTTCCCTGTTGCGCAAACTGATGTTTCACAAAATGGCATCTTGACTATCCAGCTATAAAGTGAAACTCCAGGTGGCTGAAGTCCACTTGCAAAGAGATTAAGGACAATCTGGCAGCTGCTTCATATTGAAAGCGAACTAAGAAGCAACCTGAGTAACAAGGAGATGACTCAAATACTCCACCTCACAGACAGCCAGAAAACTTGGAAGGGCCATGAAGCAGAACCACCATATCTAGCCTGACCAGAATCAAGTAGGAGCCAATGGCTACTGGTATGGAAGAAACATACTGCTAAAAGCTCAGATGAGAAATAATGACGACAGGCTTTCAACTGTGACATTCATATATTCATTTATTGAACAAATACCCATTTTACTTCTAATAATCATATGATCTGATGGGGAAAATACATAAGCAGCTAAGATGCCCTGGGAAGTTCCTGTCCTCAAGAAATATAAAATCAATTCAGAAGTAACATTTAGTCTGCAAAGACTAAAGAGGTCACCTGGACCTCAAAGGCAGCTCTCTTGGGACAATAAGTATTTATTTCTACATGTACTACCTTGAAACTATAAAGAAAGAAGACTGCTTCATCTTCACTTTAAATGAGACCTTCAAAAGGAAAAAAATCTGCCCCCCCAAGATGGACACTAAAGATATTATAAAAGCTGTTGATTAGGCTCTTAGATCCATTGACTTACTGAAATTTTTAAAGTAAATAGAGTATTTAGACACCTGTTTATGTTCTTTGGCTCTCAGACTATTGAATAAATACATCAGTAATTCAGAGATACATCTCTCATATCATGACACGTATTAAAGCTGACTGCTAATAATGGCATCTTAGCATTCTCCCATCATGGATGAACTCAGGCCATAGTCCCTCCATACACTTAGCATAAAATGCTCATTAGTCCTAAACTTCTGAAGTTAATGTAGGTTTTAAGTTAAAAAGCATCATAAAAAAAGGCTAGGGATATAGCTCAATTGGTAGAGTGTTTGCCTAGCATGCACAAGGCCCTGGATTCAATCCCCAGCACCACCAAAAGGGGGGTAGGGCATCATAAATCATAAAAGAAGTATCTGATCAGGTGTGGTGGTACACACCTGTAATCCCCGTGACTTAGGAGGCTGAAGCAAGAGGATTCCAAGTTTCGAGGCCAGCCTTAGCAACTTAAGTGAGGCCCTAAGTGACTAAGCAAGACCCTGTCTCAAAAAAAAAAAGAGTTAGGGATTTAGCTCAGTGGATGGAGAAATAAGATAAATGCTAATTAATTCCAAAGAATTCCACTGGTTTGATTTAAAAGCCAATGGTAAATCAGATTGTTTGATATGACCATGAGTTTGAAGGGAAGATGCACGATGATGGGGAAGGAAGAGAAAGAGTTCAAAAGTGCCTGTATAATGGAGAAGACAAAAGACACTACCAAAAGTCACTATCTCTAAATTCAGTTTAAAACCAATTCAACCAGCTGGATGTGATGATGCATGCCTGTAACCCCAGCAGCTAGGGAGGCAGAGTTATGAGAATCATGAGTTCAAAGCCTGCCTCAGCAACTTAGCAAGACTCTGTCTCTAAATAAAATATAAAAAGAGCTGGGGGTGGTGGGTTCAGTGGTTAAGCACCCCTGAGTTCAATCTCCAGTACCGGGCCCCACCAAAAAATCCATCCATTTCATTACAGTAAAATAGGAGAATAAGTATGTGTAAGTGCATCTACTGTATCTTTACATTCTCTGAGCTTAGATGAAACATTTTCTTGTAAAAGGAATATTTTTAAAAAGAAACTATATTAAATATAATATACACTGAAATATATTAAAATACACTACAATAGCAGTTTATGCCTATCAGTATTTACTTTATCAGGAATATTAAAATCTATTTAAGTTAGCAAAAACCCAGGGCCTAAAAGAAAGATGAGTGTAAGATTTTCAATGAAAATTTTGTAAGTCTGGATTCTATAATACAATACAAAAACTAGGTACACTATGTCAATCATTACCAAATCAACTCCCCATTTTTCCTTTTTTATAATATTTATTTTTTAGTTTTAGGTGGACACAATATCTTTATTTTATTTTTATGTGGTGTTGAGGATCGAACCCAGTGCCTTCACGCATGCTAGGCAGGCACGCTACCACTGAGCCACAACCCCAGCCCCATTTTTCCTTTTTTAATGACTTCTTTGGAGGGTTGAACTTCCTAAAAGAATAATAAAGGCAAAAGGTAAGTTAAAGGTCAAGACAAAGCCATGCATTTTACTCCTCAGCAAATACATTTGGGAAGACAGAAAGGACAAAAAGCATGAAGTCAAGGAAAAGCAAGAGTGCTTTCTCCTTTTCAGCATTTCACCAGATCATCTTCCCTTCCTAAATTGACTGGGATGAATCCAATTTTGTTTCCTCTACCTTAACCCCAGGTTGCTAGTCTTATCTGACAGAGGTATTTAAAAGTAGTATTTTCATACTAAATAGTGTCTTAACTTATAAACTTAATTAAAACTCCTGATGCCAGCTGGCCACTAGATGCAGTTCAGCAATCTACCTCACAAACCCTAGCTTCCTTCTCTGGTCCATCCCCACACTAAAACTTTCCAACCCTTTACCACCATCCTTAAGCTTTCCACTCAGCCTCTGCAGTCCTTCTATATTGGCAGATGCACATTCCTTTAAAACCTCCTGACCTGGAGGGAGGGGGGCCTCACTCTCCCTCTCCAAGACTCAAAAAGCCATCTACTGCTGCCCTGGACCACAATCCCTTTCCCTTCTCTGCAACCTGCTCTGTTTGTTAGCCCTACCTTTCTCTATCTTCAGGATCACCTTTTTTGGGGGGTCGGGGTGGGGGGGAGATGCAGTGGGCACATCACCGGTGATTGAACTCAGAGGCACTCAACCACTGAGCCATATCCTCAGCCCTATTTTGTATTTTTGTTTAGATACAAGAGTCTCACTGAGTTGCTTAGTGTCTCACTTTTGCTGAGGCTGGCTTTGAACTCGAGATCCTCCTATTTCTGCCTCCAGAGCCGCTGAGATTACAGGTGTGCAACACTGCACCCAGCTCTTCAGGCTCATTTTTCCCAGTAGCTTGTTTCTTTCACCATCCAGCCATCCAGCAAAATATGTACTCTTAGGGCTGGGGTTGTGGCTCAGAGGTACAGCACTCTCCTAGCATGGGTGAGGCCCTGGGTTCGATCCTCAGCACCACATAAAAGTAAATAAGTAAAATAAAGATATTGTGTCCAACTACAACAAGAAATAAATATATATAAAAAAACTGTACTCTTTCCTCTTCTGTACATTCACTGACCAAGATGGCAATTTATATGAACTGCTTCATCTAACTTTACTTCCATTATTTTCACAATCTATTACAGCCCATCTCTTCCATCTTCTATCCACTCACCTATGGTTTATTGAAACTATTATAATTTCAACACAAATAATCTTCTAAATGCCCTACCAAAGAAAGCCTTCTTTCAGCAGGGCACAGCAGCACATGCCTGTAATTCTTGGACACTGGGGCAAGAAATCAAAACTTTGAGGGCAGCCTCAGCAATTTAGCAAGACCTGTCTCAAAATAACATATTTAAAAAGGGCTGAAGATACAGCTCAGTGGTAAAGCATTGCTGGGTTCAATACCCAGTACCAAACCACCAAAAACAAAAATTATGTAGGCAAGTACTCTTGTAATTTTATAGTTCTTATTTGAAGTTAGTTCCTTAAGGCATCAGAATTTATACATTTGGTTGGAACTGTGTTCTATCACCAGGTGTAGTGGCGCATGCCTATAATCCCAGCAGCACGGGAGGTTGAGACGGGAGGATCGTGAGTTCAAAGCCAGCCTCAGCAAAGACAAGGCCCTAAGCAACTCAGTGAGACCCTGTCTCTAAATAAAATACAAAATAGGGCTGGGGATGTGGCTCAGTGGTTGAGTGCCTCCGAGTTCAATCCCCCATACCAAAAAAAAACAAAAAACAAAAAACTATGGTCCATGCGATCTAGAATTTTATGTCTGCACATTGTGTGGGGGAACAATGTAATCCCAGTGGTTCAGGAGGCTGAGACAGGAGGATTGCTAGTTCAAAGCCAGCCTCAGCACTTAGCGAGACCCTGTCTCTAAAAAAAGGGCTGGGGATGTGGCTCAGTGGTTAAGCACTGCTGGGTTCAATCTCTACTACAAAAAAAAAAAAAAAAAAAAAACCCAAAACACATTATAAGACACAGCAGCCCTCCCAGATGTCAAATAAAACATTTACATGTATGTTCCCAAAACACCTCACTTTTCTTCAATAACCTAATAAGAATCCCACACTTGAAATCACGTCTCAGAATCATGAGTTCTTTCCCGTGCTGTTATATAAACAGTATTTTACATATAATTAGAGTAAATACATTAAGTTTACATTAGCAATACTGTGCATCCAAGAGCATAAGTGCATATTTCGGGCTTTCTCTGACCAATGGTTTGTTTCTTGTACCTATCAGCATAAAAGAATATAAGCAGTCTGGTTATGCATTTTTCCAAGATGAACTCCTTTCTTCAAGTTTCAAGAGGACTCCAAACTCTAATAGAAGCTGATAACAGTCTAATGACATCCTACATGATTTCACAAAGTTCAGTTCCATTCAGCCTGTGTCTTTCTAGACTGAAGAAATCATGAGTAATCTTATAGGCTCCAAACGAAAACAATAATGCAGGTAGATCTATAAAATTTATTTTTTAATTTTATAGATGTGTAAGTTAAGAGAAATCTCACCCCAGATATCAGATTTAACTTAGGAAAAGCAGCCTTCAAAAACACCTCTGACAATCACCATACCCCAAGACTTACAGGAAATCATAAGGTAGTCCTCACAGTTGCTTTTGTCATCATCTTGCTGGTCCACAGGGATCCCGTTGGCATCTATAACTGCTTCGGAGGCACAGTCTGCTACCAATACTTCTTCTGAAACTACATCGGTGGTCAGAGGATCAGTGACTATTTCTGCTTCTACAACACTATCATGAACCACATGTTCAACATGCCCAACGTCAGACACATGTATAGATTCACTTGTCAAGACGTGTTCTGGCATAGACATTGAGGCTGAAGTAATGTCAGAAGCTAAAACATCATCTGGAACTGTGCAATGTGCTAAAGAAACTTCTTCAGTTACATCTGAGTCCAGCACTTGCTCAGGAATGATGACGGTTTCTGATACATCTGCTTCTTCCATGATATCTGGGCATTGAACATCTTCTATAACAACGTCCTCAATAACATCTTGAATTACAACTGAGTCGGGGTCATCAGGAACAAAGTTATGCACAGTTATGTCTGAATCCACAACATCTGACACAAAAACAGTTTCTTGTACTTCCACAACAATTTGATCACCATCCATGTGTGTTGCATCAGCTCCTTAAAAAATAAATAAATAAAATGACGAATTTTCAGGTCAGTGTGTGACTATCACAACTGAGTAAATGTTACTTAACTCCTACCAGGACAACAGACTAGTTCCTCAGTTTTCTCAACATTAAGAAATAAAGAGGGAATCTATTTTTTAATCATATTGGAAAGATATTTTTAAACACAACAAATTTCATACACTTAAATCAATGGATAAACACTAGGAGAACTAAGCAATTGAGGCAGTCACAGAAGAAATATATTTAGGAAAGTAAAATTCTAGATACTCCAAAATTAAACTCATATTAATAGTTACTTTAGGGATGATTATAAAAACTATGTAATGTCACTTCAGGTGGCAAATATACCATTTTCCTTTGGTATATGTTTTTTAATTTATTTTCCTTCTTGCTCCATCTCACCCTCTTCAACTCATGTTTTATCTTCTTTCCATCTCTCCCATGTGTTTCTTTTACTTCTCTTCCATTTTCCCCCTTTCTTCCTTTACATCCTATGTTCTAATAGACCACCAACATCCTCTATCTATGACTATGGAAAATTAGATATTAATCTCTGAATATGACATAAAAGGATCAGGGCATGAATCAAAATAGGGATAAGAAGGTCACAGTTTAGGAGGAAAGACAATTGGTCAAGGATATCTATCCCTGTGGATAGATAAAGAACAAAAACGGAGCTGCGCTAGGGCAGTACAGGATGAGGGTAGTTAGAGTGGCCCTACCCCAACTTCACCAGAGTACTCCTCCTCCATAGAGCCTCCTCCCTGCCCCAGGACCCCAACCCCCAAGGCAGTTCCTCACAATATAGGAAACTTTAATCTTGTCCATGTTACAGTTAAGGAATCAAGGTAGAGGATTGAATCAGTTGTAGCCCAATGAGATTAAATGACTTAACCAAGATCACACAGTTGTTTGCACAGCATATGGTGCTCAGTAAATATTACTCCAAATGAATGCCATAAATGAGAAGAGAAATTATACATCCTTACCAAAAATAAAACCAATATCATGGCTGCTGGTTCAGAGGAAAAGCAAACAGAGTTTTATATGTCTTACCAAAAAAAGCTATTAGTACTTCTGGTTGAGACTCAGACCAGCCTGAGTCCAAGCAGGTGCCTAACTCAATGACTCCATGTCACTGGCCAGGTCCTCAGAGAAACATATGGCTTTGTCAACAAACACAAATGAGTAAAAGCCAAAGAATATTAAAAATTATAGAAAGTCTTTAAAAAGTAATAATCATTTTAATTACTTCTAGAAACCAAGAATATTCAACTTTATCTTCAATATTATTGTCAAGTGATAAATCTCCATTTGGCAGACATGAAGAGAAATGCATTTAGTGGCACTGGTTACAAAATCTAAATCAGAGAGGAGGATTATACACTTAATAGTTTTGTGACCTTGGGCAAGTCATTTAACCTCTGAGTTTCAGTTTCCTCATCAGTAAAATGAGGACAATAGTATCTGCCATGCATACCTCACAGGACTGTGGTGATGATCAAATGGGAATGTATGGGAAGGAGTCTGAAAAACTGTAATGAGAGGTTTCATTATTATTACGACATTGGAAAACGGAGGCCCTGGCAGATTAAGTGACTTGCTCAAAGATAAACAAATACCATAAGTGTTAATTCAATCTACCACTTAGTCCACAACCCAGGTTTGCTTATGGCAAGATTAACAAATACTGTGCATTTTTCTCCAAAGAGCCTGGCCTCTCTTTCAAGCACACGTTAATTATACTTCTTGTTCCAATTAAGAATTATAAATTTGGCATTTATCATGATCAAACAGAAATTACCAAATATCAAAGACTATTCCAAGTTATTAAGAAAAACATACAACCTCCCCCAACTAAAGTTAAGAAAAATTCAAAAACTGAAAGTCACTAATATTTAATTTTCTGATAAAGTTAATTGTTATTTCTTTAATTTCTTGCAATCTGATCATTTCAAGTCTAATGGAAAACTCATTAACATCTTACTTATAAGGATAGCTAGGCTAGTGTGATATAAAATCGTGTTACATTATAAAACCAACTATAATCACGTTACAATGTTACATAATTAGAACACTGGATACTCCCAAAATAATGAAACTTTTTTCCCCCATTTCAAAACTTCATGAATACAATCTTCCTTGTACACTCAGGGAGAGAACTAAGATCATCTTCCCGAAGCAGACTGCTCTTTTGGGGAACTTTTGAGATAGAACACTATGAAAGTAGGACAGGGTCAGGATGTAGAGGACCTTGGATTTATAGTTTATCTGCTGGGTAACAGAGAACAAAGAAATGACATGATCCACTGTTATGATGAGTACTCTGATCAGTAGGCTAGATAAATGAGATTTACGGTACGAAAAATAATTCAAAAGTTATTACAAACTAAGAATGAAATGATAGAGCCTATCTATGTGACAGACTACAATGAAGAGGAGATGTAAGCAAGGAACATTTTCACAGGGACAACCAACAGAATTCAGTGGGATAACTGAGCAAGATGAGAATAACTGAAGATAACACTAAGGTTTTGATATTGCTATTGTTACAAGTTGAGTATACTTTATCCAAAATGCTTAGAACCAGAAGTTTTTGTTTTTTTCAGATATTGAAAAAGGTCACACATACAAAATGAGTTATCTCGGGGAATAGAACCAAAGCCTAACCATGAAATTAATTTGTTTCATATACACCCTATATTCATAGCCTGAAGGTAATCTTATACAATATTTTTAGTTTGCCTGTGTTCTGACAACCCATTACATGAGATCAGGTATGGAATTTTCTACTTGTGGCTTCACGTTGGCACTCAAAAAGTTTTGGATTTTGGAGTATTTTGAATTTTATATTAGGGATATTAAACCTATACTGACAAGAATATTAAGGTAGATTGTGAAGGAGCCAAATTTTTCAGAAGGAGAATAATAATATGCTCACTTTCACATTCATAGATCCTGACAGGATTAACAAAATACTTAAGTGTGAATATCAGTCAACGTGAGAGTCCAGCAATTCATCCACATGAAAACCAACTCTAAATGTGGTAGATACAAAGTGGAACAACCCAAGTAGTTATACCTGTTGCATCAAAAAATGAGTTTGGCTCTTGTGGTTGTAATTCAAGTCCATCTTCATCCATGGCCTTTAATTCTCATCAGTCACAGCTCCTAAATCAAGGAAAAAGGTAAACCAAACATTAACGTTTTATATCATGTATTAAAAATGTCATATTTTCATTTCAGACACTCAAAATTATGTGACAGATGAACATCTATGAAAAATATAACAAATAAATCAAAAGATCACTTTCACTTAGACTTCATTTTAAACTGAGGTACTGCTTACATATAAAAATATATTTATTTTTTAGTTGTAGTTGGACACAATCTTTATTTTTTTATTTATTTTTATGTGGTGCTGAGGATCGAACCCAGGGCTTTGCACATGCTAGGAGAGCACCCTGAGCCACAACCCAGTCCCCATCTTGATGAATTTAACATATACATAAACCTTCATAACATTGCCCAGATCAAGATATAGAATATTTCCATGATTCTAACATTATTGCCTCAGTCTATATACCTCACACTCCCAAGGTTAAATGGTTTTGTTAAAGTTCAACTTAAACACATTTTAAAGCTTACTGGGGGAAATTCCTGCACAATTTTCATATAACTTCTCTAAGTTTAATATAGTCTTCTTTCAATCAATATATTGAACAATGGTAAAAAATTATAATTCATAATCGTAGTGAACACCCTTTGGGATTTCTGCTGAACTTACATGTCCTCTCTTTTAAATAACCCTCTGATTAATTCCCACAGTGTACTGATATTCTCCTGGCCTAGGTGATTGGTACTAGCTTATAAAATGGTAAAAATAAGTTCATCTTTGAGCACAATAAAATCAAAGTCCTATTCCTAAGAACCTGAAACCATGGGCAAGAATCAATACCTTTCCCTCTCTGTCTCTGTCCTTCTTTTACTCTCTCTTGCTCACCCTCCCACTCTCCCCCTGTTCTGGTGACTGGAACACTGGAGATGAGGAAGGTCATTTTCCAACTTTGGCTTAGATTAGTGAGATAAAGTTTACAAACAAAAAGTGAAAAAAAATGTGTGAATACCCTGAGAAATTGAATGGATAAAACAGGGAAGAGAGAATTATTAACAGCTTTGTGGCTCCTGGTTCTAGAAATTTCTGGGGCCCACCAATATTTCTGCCTTAGGTTTTTGCAAGACATCCCAATGACCTTAATTATCCCTTTTCTACTTAAGCCAAAAACTTTTTAAAAGAACCTTAGCCAATAAAATAATGTACTTCTTAATATAATGTAATTACTGTTTCAAAAGTACAGACATCAGAGATTGTGCTTGCTCACTTTTAAGTACTACCTAAAACCTCCCTATCTCTATTTTCTCACCACCTCCCCCACATACCCTACCGGGGATTGAACCCAGGGGTGCTTTATCATTAAGCTACAATCCCCAGTCCTTGGTCTCGCTAAATTGCCAAGGCTAGCCTTGAAATCTGTAACCCTCCTGTGCTTCAAACTCCCAAGTGGCTGGGATTATAGGCTTACACTTAACCTGGTTTTATTTTATTTTATTTTTTTCTAATCTAACCTAAACAGAGCATCTTTCTATTTTGCTGCTGACGTTTCTTATTAAAATTTTAAATAACAGAAATACAACTCAATATCTAAAGCATCAGCTATGTGACATCATTCCTTTATTCAAAAATGCTAATGGATCTCTGCTGCTTCCAAATAAAGTACAAGCTCCTGCCATTTCCTAAACTCTGGCTCCAACCTACCTTTCCTGGCTCCTCTAACTTTCCTTTAAGCACCTCCCATACAACCATGCATGGGCCCACATACACTTCAGCAAAAACAAAAACATTCAAGTTCCTGAAAGACCCCCAACTCTGCATCTAGCTCAGGGTCCCTTCTGCCTGGAATACTTTACCCTTATCATCTCTGCTTTGGAAATAATTTCTCCATTTGAATTACCATAGCATTTTATCCTTCTTCTCTTACTGTATTTGTTTGCCATATATTATGGTTTTTTATGTCTTATTTTTAGATACTAAATTACACACATGTAGTCCTTGAAATATTCATGAGAAGCTCAACATTTGTATAATAAACAAATGGATTTTCAACACGTCAGCTATGAGACATTCTATTCGTCTTGAAGAAATAGCTTGTTTCATGTTATTCAAACTGCTTCAAATTAAAGCAAATAATGGCTAGATTAATAAACAAAACAAAAAAATTGTTCAACCATGAAAAACAAAATGTACAAGCTCTGAATAAGTCTTCCCTGTCCTCTCCTTGCCAAAATCACCTCTGGCCATAAAATTCTTTTCCCCTTTAAAAATGTAATTATAAAATGATAAGTGCAAGTTAATCTTCTAAGCCTAATGAAATATTACAAGAAATTAAGCCAATTAAGAAGGCAATAAAGGGGCTGGGATTGTGGCTCAGCAATAGAGCTCTTGCCTAGCTCATGTAAGGCGCTGGGTTCGATCCTCAGCACCACATAAAAATAATTAAAATAAAGGTGTTGTGTCCAACTATAACTAAAATTTTTTTTAAAAGAAGGCAATAAAGGGGATTCGTTAAGGTACTTAAGCCCTATAACCTCAAATTTCCCTATATAACCCAATCCCATCACCAGCTCTAAAAATTCTCCATCTGCAAAACAATTCTGTCTCTTGGCTTTCCTCCTCCTTGGTTTTCTATTAGAGTGTGACAGATAATCAATTCCCTTGATTTTGAAGTTCAGTCCTTCCTCTGTTTCTGCTAGCCACCAAGCCACCCCTCACCCCTTACCGAAGGCCTTGCCCAGACGAGTGCACTCAGCCCTCTTCTGCTTTCTATTCTCGTGGTTCAACTACCATTTGCACAAAGATGAGTCACAAAATCCACATACTCAAGGTAGGTAGGACCTAACATCACCAGACTGAGTATATTCATCTGGATAAAACCTATCTTTCTCCTCACAAAACCACTATGGCCTTTTACTTTCTTCCCACTTACATTCAGTCAGGTTGCCAGTCTTGTCAATTACTTCTCCAGGACTTCTCAGGAATCTGTCCCTGTTATTATCCCCTTCACCACTCCCCCTCAGTTTCGTATTTCCGGATCCCTGAGGCATGAAAATAGCCTCTCAAGTGGCCTTGCTTCTTTCTGCCACTCCCACAACAAATGACCAGGAACCCTATAAGGGTTGGTGCCAAGGACTGAGGCTTCCTGCAATCTGCAAATTAATCCTCCTGACACACTGCTTTGATCATGGCGCTGCCCTGTTCAGAATACTCCCAATATTCAGGGGGCTTGACAATATTAACCTAACATACCATGATGGATTTATTTGCTGTTATTCCCAAACTTTTAACATCATATGCACTTCCTAACAGATATTTATTCTGGCCTACATGGTAGGGGCCCACTCACTTCATCTTGACTTAGATAAGCAATAAACCATTCAAATTATTTTCCCTTCTGTTTTGTCATTATAAAAACACAAACAGGGGCTGGGGTTGTAGCTCAACGGTAGAGCGCTTGCCTAGCATGTGAGAGGCCCTGGGTTCGATCCTCAGCACCGCATAAAAATAAATAAAATAAAGCTATTTGTGTCCATCTACAAATGAAAAAAAATTAAGGAAAAAAAACTCAAAACAGGGAAAAAATACATTTTGTACTTACAAGCAGAAATGCTGATACCTCAACTTTGTAACCCCTCAGCAGTTAGAACTGATAATTCCCTCTGACAAAATGAAACCATGTTCTTAGAATGGTAACTACTCAGAAGGGTTCTCAGGATTGTGAAAAAGGGTAGAAGAGAGTGGATTGCTGATGAGACAAAAATAAGAAAGGTTCAAAGAACCAAAAACCAAAGGATACAGGTGAACAAGTATTAACATTTATCAAATGCCCTCAAAATATTTTTGGGACTCCGCTATCACTTCAAATTCAGTAAAGTATTCCCTTCCTGCTCCTAAGAGTCACAATCCTGAAAATAATTTTGAAAACATTCAAAGGGGAAAGTGAAATTTTAAGGGAAATAACAGATTGGGAGAGAAACCCAGAAAACTCTCAAAAACTTCCTTCCACCAATTCTTTAAATTAAAGCAATAAAAATACCCTAGCATGTTAACAGGTATAGGGGCTGGGGTTATGGTTCAGTGGTAGAGCGCTCACCTCACACGTGCAAGGCCCTGGGTTCAATCCTCAGCACCACAAATAATAAATAAATAAATAATAAAGTTTTTAAAAAGTTAACAGATATAACAGAGGCATATTATCTACCTTAAATTAGGAACTGTCAATACAATTTATCGGTTTTATATTTCTTTATACCTAAACACTTTTGTGCTCTCCCTCTTGGGCAAATTAATAAAATTATTATATATATGTATATATTATATATATGTATATATATTATATATGTGTGTGTATATATGTGTGTGTGTGTATACACACACACACACACACACACACACTTACTTTGCTTTTTTTTTTTTGGTAAATGTGCATACAAAAATCACTTTTCCACTTGTGGCTTCCTGAAAACTCATTGTCTTTTAATTCTATGACTCATTTCTAATTTATCTCCATAAGTCACGCTCAAAGAACCCAATTTTATTATAAGTGGTACATGGAATTGCTCAAGCTGCAGGAATAGCAAACAAAAGCAAATCTGTCTACAGAATTTTTCTGGAGGAAATTGGAACTGATGAAATTTAAAGCCTAATTAAGGGCTGGAGATGCAGCTCAGCAGTAGAGCCTTGCCTGGCATGGATGAGGCCCTGGGTTCCATCCAAAGTGCCACCCCAAAATAAACAGATGAATAAATCCTAATTAATTAATAAGTTACAATCTTTTTGTCTCAGCCTCCCAAACAGTTGGGATTACAAGTATGTGCTACAGTCCCTGGCTTTATTCACCTTTTTTTATTTTTGGTATTAGGGATTGAACCCAAGGGCACTTTATCACTGAGCTATATCCCCAACCCTTTTTATTATTTGAGACAAGTCTCCCTTAGTTCCTTAGGGCCTCCCTGATTTGCTGAGGCTGCCCTTGAACTTGAGATCCTCCTGCCTCAGCTTCCTGAGTTGGTAGAATTACAGGCATGTGCCACTGCACCTAGCTCTATTCATTCTT